CCTCTTTGGGACTGCTTTTCAGGCATTTCCCACCAGTATTATGATTCTTCAAGACTGATTGGTTGTCAGCTTCCCTGAAACTCACCTAAAGTGGGGACAGGGATCATCCTATGTGCTCCCACAACCTGTCTCTTGGAACACTCATCACATTATGTGGCAGTGGCCTGATTATACATCTGTTCCTCCCACCAAAGCATGATGAGCTCCTTAAGGTCAGGGACACTTACTCATAAGCAGAACCCAATATGTAGTGCTCAATACATTAAGGAATTACAAGGGATCAGCTAGCTCCACTGTGTCCCCACCTAGTTTCCCCTTCACTTGTTAACTCTGCCTTGGAAACCAAAGCAGGGTAATAACCCCTAACATGGAGTCTTCCCAGAGGTTCTCTGAGAGGTCAGGTATTAGAATAATACTAATATCCTAATAATAATATTATGATCCTAATGGTGCCAATATTGTCCCATTCTGAGTCTGAGAAAACTGAGGCTCAGAATTGAGTGAGTTGCCAAGGCAATGTGACTAGGAATATCAGAACCCAGATGTGTGTTTTTTTAATTCTCACCCGAGGATATTTTTTCCATTGCTTTTCAGAGAGGGAGGGAGGGAGGAAGGGAGAGGAACATCGATGTGAAAGAGATGCATTGATTGGTTGCCTCCCACACTTGCCCTGACTGGGGCCGGGGATCAAGTCCGCAACCAAGGTACCGCCCTAGGCTGGAATCGAACCAGGACCCTTCAGTCTGCGGGCCAGTGCCCTAACCACTGAGCCAAACCGGCTAGGGCAGAACCCAGATCTTTGAATTCCTATGTTCAGAACTTCTTCAGCTACGCTGTAAATTCAGTACAGTGTATCCTGCGTGCAGGCTAGGTCTTATCTTCATTTTTCATTTTTCTGAATAGGAAATCCAAGTTGCTAGTTCCACACAGCTAGGAATGATAGAGCCAGGATATGTGCCCATGTCTGTATGACTCCACGCCTCATGCTCTTTTCTGTACCATACTGCTTCTCCCTCAGTACAGGAGGGTTTGGGCTGAGAGAAAATGGGCCAAGAGTGAATGGATAATTGGCGAGGGGAGAACCAATGCTAACCTAGACCTTTTGCCGCCCACCTTTTCCCACCCCAGGCTGCGGGAACAGTGCCCTGAGCTATGAGCTATACCTTGGGGGATTCCCTGATGTGACCAGTGTGGACTACTCATCAGTAGTGGTGGCTGCCATGCGGGATCGCTATGCGCATGTGCCCAAGCTGCGCTGGGAGACCATGGATGTGCGGGCACTGGGCTTTCCCAATGGCTCCTTCGATGTGGTGCTCGAGAAGGGCACTCTGGATGCCCTGCTGGCTGGAGAACGGGATCCCTGGACTGTGTCCTCTGAAGGTGTCCACATTGTGGACCAGGTGCTGAGTGAGGTGAGGGAGCAACAAGAGAGGAGGGCACACCAAGAAGTAGGGATGAGGGGTTGAGGTTTCAGGAGATTAGATGAACTTAGAAGCCAGAGGAGGCATGGTTTGGAGCAGTCACTCAGGACTGTGGTTACCTGAAGGAAGGAGAAAGTTACCCTGGGTCAAGATTATAGGAGCTGTAGTGGCCAGGTTCACAGAGGCTGATGATTGGCTACTGGGTTGCCATAGGGATGATAGAGCAGCCAGGTTCCAGATAACAGACTGGGAGGGTGGACAGTTGGCAGGAAAGCAGTAGCCCCTGACTTGACATCACTCCCATTCTCCTACCTGTCTAGAATATAGCCCTACCCCCATGGAATGACCAAGGGCACAGGAGGCTCACTCTTTTGCCGTGGAAAGCTGGATGTAGGGTAGTACCTAGGAGGGCATCTGGGACAATACTGACCTTTGAGAACCTGGAGATGGACTCCTTACCAATGGCTTCTCTGTCTGCCTTCCAGGTGAGCCGAGTGCTGGTTTCTGGGGGCCGGTTCATCTCGCTGACCTCTGCTGCCCCCCACTTTCGGACTAGACACTATGCTCAAGCCCGTTATGGCTGGTCCCTGAGGCATGCAACCTATGGCAATGGTTTCCACTTCCACCTCTACCTCATGCACAAGGGCAAAGAGCTTAGTGTGGCTCAGCTGGCCCTTGGGACCCACATCCTCTCACCCCCCAGCCCTCCCACCTCACCGTGCTTTCTCCAGGACTCAGATCATGAGGACTTCCTTAGTGCCATTCAGCTGTGAAGCCAGAAGCATGATGCTCGAGCCCTCCCTACCTTTCTGCCCTGGACTCCTCAAGTTGTTGTAATTCCTGACTCAGGACTTAGGGTTGGGTCCAAGGTGCTCACATCCTAGGGGCCTGATGCCTAAGATAGAGCTGATGACCAACCCCACATGAAACAATATAGCCCAGGCTAAATTACATCCCAAATCCAGGTTTCTGGCTTCCTTCTTGGGATCCTCAGATCTCTCCTGGGCTCCCCAACTTCCTCTCCCACTGTATTGAATCCACCACTGCCCCTCTCCATGCCAGCCAGACTCAGAGACCTGCATCCCTGGGGCCTGTTGTTGCCCCTCCACTCAACATGGATTTATCCACAGGAGGCTGCAGACTTTGAATCTAGATTGCTTTAAGATTCTCACCCTTGCTCCAGCCCCAACTCTGGTGACCAATCCTGCTCTGGTTGTATATTTACCCAAGAATGCTATATTGTAATGACGTTCTCAGGCTAAGTTTCCTGCCAGTGTTTACTTGGCAACCCTTCAATGCCAGCAACCTGCACCTGAGATTCTCAAGTACGTGTCCCCCCCCCCCCCCAA